TTCCTTGTATATGTACATGTTGCAGTTTTTGTGTGACTGAAGCTCGAAGCTTAGATCAAAATTTTACTTCATTAGATATTCTCACTAGTGTAGCTGCATGCATGTCACTGTTTTCACAAAGAGATAAAAAGTGTGCCGCCAGAGGTTTGAAATTTGTCGCTTGTAAAAAATGTCACGATTCGGACATCAGAAACAGGATGTTATGATGAAAACAAAGGTATGACATAAGCCAATAGACGAACAAAAAAACCCTCAAAATTGAACTCGGACAAAGTAGCGTCATCGGTCAGCATTTGTTGACGAGTGGCTCTTGAAGACAGAATGAAAATTTTGCCTCACGCACGATGCTGATGTCAGCGGTTGTAATTGATTAAAAACAGGAGAGATTAAACTGAAAAACAAAAACACAATTCAAGGCCGTTCTCGTTTTTGAGGTCTGACGATGATTGAATTGCGTCAGATGAGTCGAAGAGGTGGTAGTCATGCTGATTTGGGGACGAACGTCGGAGAAAAGACAGTAGTCATTCTGATGAGGGTCAGAGTTGCTACAAGTTGACAGTTGTCATTCTAATTTAGGAAAATAATTTCGGAGAGATTAAATTGAAAAGCAAAAAAAAAAAAACCCACCAAAGGTCTTTGTTGTTATGAGGTTGGAAGACGATGATTTGATTGAACCAGATGCGACGAAGAGGCGATAGCAGTAGTGATGATTATGGGGCTGAACGACACAGTAGAGAAAGACGTGAGAGATTTCGAGTCGGGAGATGTATCTAGATCCTACGCGCCAGCCCTCTTGATCCTAATTCAAACTCCCTGGAGAGTAGCCAGCTGCGAGCCCGAGAGCGTGAGACGGCATAGATTATCTCTCCATGAGCAAGCGCAGCCATACCCGAACCTGTACGTGCCAGGCCTAACACCGGCCGCGACATCCTTAAGTCTGTTCAAGAAGGCGTGACGCAGTCTTCGCCTGCAGTGCGTGTGTTTTCTCCCAAGTTTCGGAAATCCGAGGGATTAGTTATCAGTTGGTCGCTCGAAAACTCCCACCGTGATGTAACGACCGGTTGCTACTAGCAACAGCCGGGGGAACTGATGCAATCTTATATCCATTTCATTTCATCAGATATCTCTAACTAGATCTTATTTCAACCTGAAAGACATTTTTGAATTGCTACTTTGTGGTATCATTGGAAAAAGCTCACATCAATCTTGATTTTCATTGTTTGACCAAATTTGGCATTTTTAGTCATTTCAATTCAATTCAATTTCTTTATTCAGTGATGATTTTGCCGACTTCCCGTTTTGCAGACGTTCTGTTTGCAGGGCCCCAACTTCAAGACTACATCTGACAACGTATTTCATTTGTAATCTTCCGTTGACTACTGCAGAAGCCCCAATTAATAACATGTCAGAAATATGCGGAATAAAAATGTTTTTTACGGAAAAACAATTGGCATCTTCCATTCTCACATAAAAAAAACCCTGGAAACTTTAATGGCATTTTTCTCAATATTTTACCTTTTTGACATGTCTACAAATTCAAACTTTAAACAGCCCTGAAAATACTTGTGAACAGAGTCTAATTTTAAGGAGCATTATTGTAACTTAATGTAAGGAGAGTTTTATTCTCTTTCCTAATACCTGCAAACTTTATTTCGACCTCTGCCCAGTCTCATTTTGCCAGAATTCCTCAGTTATGAACAAAAATTACAAATTAAGTTAAAAATGGAACTCAAACAGGTACAATTCATGGATTGCATTTAGAAAAAAAATCTACAACATGGCCCTTTTAAAGGGAATGTACATCATTGGCACTTGTTGTAATTTTCAGAAATGAACTATTTGAGGGGTTAGTGTAATAGATCAAATATTGTTACACTGACATGTTTGAAGTTTTGTGTTCGAAAATGCTGGAAAAACTAAGAAAAACAAAAATGTTCGAGGAGTTGGAAATTTATACTAAATACCGTTGGAAATTTATACTAAATACCAATTTTCTTGAAAATGACTTCACACCTGGTGCCATAATTTTACAGGATGCTTTAAACTGTCATTTACCAACATCCTAGTAAGGCTTTTCATAAAAAAAGGGTAGTTTTGTTTTCCGATGTTTGCAAATGTTGTATATTCCCTTTAAGACAGTCACCTTTTAGGTATACTGTAGATTTCATCAACACTTAGTAATAGCATTGATATATCTCATCATACGGTGTCCATGCATTGTGCAGTCTATTACATAGACTGTGAACACAGTAGGTCGGGTTCGCAGTGCAAATTGGCTCACTAGCAGGTGCCTCCATCTGCAATTACTCAGTTTATAGACACTGCGTTGAGTGATTTCTGTCTGCTTCTCCTAGCCAAACGATAGATCTTCAAACAGTCACTGTAGGACTGTTTGCGCCAGAAGCTTGCACGGATCAAACAGTCAAAACTGGCGCATCTAAAGCAATATCGGTGTCAGGGAATTGATATTATTCAACTTCGTTAGTAAGAAACAGATGTTCTTCAGTAGCATTTACTCTTTTTTTTATTCAAGGGCCTTTGCTTCAGTGATTACTTTGTACACAAAGCATTAATGTTTGAAAAACATCAATAAATGTCTTGTCGTTTCTATTGTATCTTTAGCAATATACGTGAAATATCTATCTGGGAACTTTTTTTAAGCCAATTTATTATAGTTAACTGTGTTTAATGTCACAGCTTTTTTCTGTTTATTCACTCTCATTATCTTGCCATTTTTATTATTATTATTAATTATTAATCATTTCTTGTAATGAAACCAAGGATTCCTCAAAAGCGCCCTAGGCACTGTAGCTCGCAAGCCTGAAGAAACCTGTGGAGAGAAGACAATGAGAAAAAGTTACAGTTTTAGAGGTGGGAGGAAAAGCCCAGAAGAATATTCTGGGGAAAACCCACGGAATCAGGCAGGGACCGAAAACCCAATCCACATATTGGCCCAGGCGGGATTCGAACCCTGGTCACAGCGGTGGAAGGCGAGCAAAGTACCGCTACGCCAACCCGACTCCCCTGAATTTGTAGCAACCATGAAATGAAACAGTATTTGTAAGCTGAATGCGAATTCATTTCAAGAATGAAATCAGGGTGGACCTTTTTTTTGCAAAAAAGTGTATCACCCTCACATATAAGAAGAAAATATGAATGCCCCAAAATCCCTCAACACAATTGCGCTTTCTGGCAGTGGTTTTGGACAAAGAAGACCTAATATTTCTGAAAAGAAAATGTTTTACAAAAAAAATCCTGAACATTTCCAGTTTAAAACATTTCAGGATATAGCATTCTTTCAAGACACTAATATTTTGGTTGCATCAAGTTTTCTTCGTTCAACTTCCATTTCTCGATAGGGAAATCTTATTATTTCATCAATAATTCATCGTGAGTAGGGGGTATTCGAAATTATCAATGGTTTCGATTTGTTTCCAATTTAATAGTTTTAAAAAAAATGTTTAACCCCCCCAACAATTTTCAATTTTAAAGAAATGACTGTCTATTCAAACAGTTCATTTCTTTTTAATTGAAAATTGAATTTTGATTTTCAGTTACTTTCCTTGACTCACCCACCCACATTTTAAAAAATCAACCCCTATGGGTTAATATTCGAGAGACCAGATTAGCTGGCAACTGGTCATGTGACAAGTTTATGGTAATTTCCTGCCCCCAAAGGAACCCATCCTTCAACTATCAACTTTCAGAATTCTCTCACCCCTCCCCCGCCCCAGCAATGGAAAATCCCAGCAGGCATGCGTGATTTCTCGATAACGTTCATCAACCATATTTACAGTTATCTAACTGCCCACTCATTACAATCATCCGATAGTTGAACAGAACTTGCCGCCATAAGCACTGCTTTTAACCACTTAACAGAGTCAACACTGCTAAGCACTAATTAACCTTTCTATAAACTGTTATCAATGTTTACATTTGTCGTACTCGCTACTTGATCAGAGCGACCAAATGTAGCAAATTGTTGCTTTGTCGAATGTCAAGTTGTTTTCAGTTTTCATTTCCACCTGCAATGAAAATACATTTTGCCGACTATTTGGACAGTGACGGAGAAATAAAGCCGCAGTGACAAGCATGCACCGTCACGCCACGCTTGGTGCGTTTTTGATTTTTGTCGCCAACTTTTGCAATTAAGCATGCTTTGCAATCATTAGGCGCCCCTATTTGGTGATTTGTGCAGGTCGAGAGTTCCATCTGCAGCTATTTGTGACACTGAATTATGCTTTATTCCATTTGGGGGGGGGGGGGGGAAGAAATCGACGTGGGTTGCTGATGGAGCAATGTCGTTTTGCTAAAAGCTCTCATCTTTCACGCTTGCTTATCTAAAATCTGGACATTAAGAGTCAATCGCTAACGGTTCCATACGCAGCGAAAAATCATGATCTTGTCTGATGGCTTACGTTTTAGTGATTGACGTGGACAAACCAGACCTTACACAATCAATTTTCTCAAGAAAAATTTAAAGTCGAGCTGTATGTTCTCAGTAACTCACTCGTTCTTTAATTGATTGGTTCATGTCAGAAAGCACTGCAGGAAATCCAGCTGTGCGGATGGAGACGACATGAATGATCTAGACAATATTATGGGTTGAAACTTCGCATTCTGTCAAATTTTAGAGTAAGGTTGTCTTTTCTAGTGTCTTTTCATTATTTTTTTTTTACGTTGGCCTTCTTAAAAGAAGAAGTGCAAAGTAAACTCAAATGCAGTATTAATAGTTTGGCAAGGTATCAATTTAAAGTTTGGAACGGAAAAAAAGAGGAGATAAGAACAAACTTAACATTCAAAATATGCACAAATTAATGATTGTATATATATTTTCCTGAACATGATAGAATGATTAACTAGATCAGTGAGTTTTTTTAAAAGATTGGTTCGTTAACAAAAGTTAGCCAAACTTGTATATAATTTTACTGTTTTATTTTCTGAGGACAATTCTTGGACAAATAAATACTCCAGAAAAAAAGTAAAGTTCTCCAGTTTCATGTGCTTCAATATATTTTATTTTATTTATTTTGTTATTTTTTATTCATTTGAATTTTCTCTCTTAGAAGGAGGCATGATGAATTTTCCTCAAAACACAATAGTTATTTGTTTGGGGATGCCAATAATTAAACTTGAAAATCAACCGCCTTTTTTTCATGCCACAAAGTGCAATATAAATAACACTAAACAAGCTACAATGTGCGTCAAGTTTCTGAAAGAATTGCATTATGTGCCTTCACTCAGTAGTCTGGTTACCAGACCAAAAGATTCTGACTTATTAAAATCAGTGACGCCAAATTATTGCACAATTTAAATAAGAATTTATGAAAATTCATATAGTCTTGAATCTTACTCACTTTTCACAGATGTAAAAGAAAATTTAAAAGTACCTTTTCATTTTTATAAACAGGCAACATTTGTAACAGAATTCAAATGAAATTATAGAAAATATTACACATTGTGAAATTGATTATAAAAAAAAGATAAAACTCATATTTATCTAAATAAAAACTGTTCACTGAATTGTTGGTACTAACACTAACGCCCAAGGCACAATTTCACAAAAATATTTTGCAAACAAAATAGCCTGCAAACCATCCATGTCTTACATAGCAACTTATTGTTCCCACGGTTCTTTTACCTTATTTTTGATGGAAAACTATTATTGAATTGAAAAAATTTTTTTTAACCATCTGTACTGCAACCTATTACAAAAAAAACAAGGTTTTAATTAGAATCATAGCTAGTTACAAATAAACTCTAATACATAAATACTTTGTGCAGTTTAAAACAAGTAAATTTTTCACACTTGTGTATTAACGTAGATTTGAGCACTCGTTTTATACAGACAAAAATATCAAAAGGCACAAGCTGTCAATAGAGGGCGCTGTTCAAGTAAAATATACAGCAATCACATTCATTTGTTCTTCATTATTTTTCTTCTTTTTTGGCAATTTAAATACAGATTTAGTAAAATGCAGCTTTCTTTATCCGTCTAAGATTTTGAAGCAAAACATTGATTTATTAATTTTTTTACAGCTGACTTTTTACAACTTTTCATTCAAATCAAGCACAATTTCAATTTTTATTAGAAACAGAAAAACAAACTGCATTCTACTTTGACAGGGTCTTTAGCAAGTCGCACCTTTGCAGACGCTTGTAGTACTGTACACGCATAAATACATATTAATAGGATGACATCATGCAGAGAATGTCCAATCACAGACCATCACCTGATACAGTCTGGCATCATTTCATTCAAGAATTAGAGCTGCTTTTCTGAATATGAATATGCATCTCTTATACAAACATTGTGCTGGCTGTTCATAAAATAAACCTGAGGAGGGTTTTGAAGCTAAAGCTGCAATGGAATACACTTTCGTCAAATTCACGTTTATCTCTAAGTGGTGTCGTGTTCGATAGCTTCGTGATACATACCCATTCCTATAGGGGCCGCCCACCCGCCAAACCCCTTCTCAAGCTCCCGGGCTACGGCCAACGTCAAGTGATCATTGTACCGATTCGCGACAACCTGAATCCCCAACGGTAGACCCTGCGCGCTAAGCCCGAGCGGGACTTGTGTCGCGGGCAGGCTGAGCATATTGAAGGTGGCCGTCGGGGCGAAGTTGCACGGGTATAGCAGCGGCGCGTTGTGGAACGGCGCCAATTTGGGGTGGGACGGGTAGATCAGCACGCCGTCGTCGCCGAGGATGTTCTCCAACTCCTCCCGGAGTTTGCCGAGTTTGGCCAAGAGGCGTTGGGTGCGCTCCGGTATCAGCTTGTCCAGCCCCTCGATCAGACCCAGCATGATGGCCGGCAGCGTGTGGCTGGACAAGCCCACCGTGCGTTTCAGCAACTCCCACAGGGGGTAGACCCGCGGCCCGTTGTTGCCCAGCATGTGGGTAAAGGACTCGGTGTCGATGGTGGACATCATGCTGAACCACATGTCCACCGTGTACTTCAGGCGGTACAGCTGCAGTCGCTGGACCGTCACGCCCAATTTTGTCTGCAGGTACGTCCTCACCTGGTGAAATAGAACCAAGTTTAGTAACTCATTTAAACTTTTAAAACTTGCATGCTCTTCAATTGACCAAGATTAAAATGCAGTCATCTTTTTATGTGTGGATTTTTTCTCTCATTTCATTCTCCGGTGCAAAAAAAAAATGAAGACTCTACTTGTATGAACTGAGACTTCCAACTTGGTTGGGGATATACTCAGTACTTTAGTTTTGCTTTATGGAATTTTTGGAATATTTTTCCCGGACCTGATTGGCCAGCCTAGCTGACTGACTCACTGACTGGCTGACTGACTTTGACGGAGTATAAACTGAGACTTTCAACTAGGCATGCTTGGTTTTGTTATTGTACTGTGTTTGTGTAAGACTGACAAAGAGCATCATCACAATGACCAAGAATTTGTCATGAAATTAACTGCCGTGATGTGTATTTGAATGTTTTTCTGCACTCGAGGTCTAAATCTGAATTGAACTACCTGGGCCTGAGCCTCCACAAGTTCGGGATCCAAGGCCGACGCCATATTCAATCGGACGTCGTCGCCCATGCTGAAGAACCGCAGATTCCTCAGGTCCACGGGAGCGTCCAGTCTGAGTTTGGAGAGCCCGTAACTGCCGGCCATGACGCGGAGCATTGGGTCGAGGTCGACGGCAAAGCGGCACATTGGACCTGTGCCCAGCATGCAGCTACGCTCCTTACTTGCCGGGGGAAACTGACCAGAGTTCAGCACCACACCTGTTGGAGAAAAAAACGCATCAATACTTGTATTACATTGTAAATTGCATTACATTGTATTACATTGTATTACATTGTAATACACTGTATTACATTGTTATACATTGTATTACATTGCATTACATTGTATTTATTCCCTGATGAATCCATAAAGTAGGACAGTTTGGGGCGGTACAGGGAGTCACAGGTAGGGCTGTTTGGGGGTGGTACAGGAAGTAACGGGCAGAGCGGTTTGGGGCAGTACGGGGAGTTACAGGTACGGCTGTTTGGGGCAGTACAGGGAGTAACAGGCAGGGCTGTTTGGGGCAGTACAGGGAGTAACAGGCAGGGCGGTTTTGGGCGGTACAGGGAGTATCAGGCAGGACTGTTTGGGGATGGTACAGGAAGTAACAGGCAGGGCGGTGTGGGGCGGTACAGGGAGTCACAGGTAGGGCTCTTTGGGGGTGGTACAGGAAGTAACGGGCAGGGCGGTTTGGGGCAGTACGGGGAGTTACAGGTAGGGCTGTTTGGGGCAGTACAGGGAGTAACAGGCAGGGCGGTTTGGGGTGCTGCAGGGAGTTACAGAGGGCAATTTTGGGGGGTTACAGGGAGTTACAGGCAGGGTGGTTGGCGGTAGTACAGGGAGTACAGGCAGGACTGTTTGGGACGCTGCATGACACCTGGCCCTGCCAGATGCAACATGGTAAACAAGTGCAAAAGTCTGTGGGATCTTGCTGCACTGAGCCATCAACACCAGTGCACAAACGGCCAATTCTGAGACAATGGTAGCTAGTCCCATTGAACAATGCCACAGTTGTATCCTGCTGCAGTTGGTGACCACGGACTCTGAGGCACTTTGGCCTTGAGAATTTTGGAACTGCTGTGTCTCACTACATCGGGCAGGCTCGTCACATTGACAAGTGGTGCGTATGGTTGCGTTGGGCTGAGTTTCTAGCTAAAACATTTTAGAAAGTTATGGTTTACACTTGAAGCTCTACTAGCTCACCTGGACTTGGCTTGTGGCCAAATACGCCATTGAAGAAAGCCGGCATGCGAATACTGCCCCCTATGTCTGACCCAATGCCAATCACCGACCCTGCTGCTCCCAAAATGCAACCCTCTCCCCCTGAACACAGAAAATGAAAGCAGAAACAAAGAAATGTTATATATTTGCTAGTCCCAGAGAGCCAGTCTAGTGTCCCTGACGACTGTCACTTTGTGAGTCGGGCAGTGCTATCATATAGGATTACCCAGTAATACCAATGAGTGGGCTAAATCTGGCCCATTGTATACAGCAGATGTGTGAAAAGACTTCCAGTGAATAGTCATTCTGAATCAACGGACTAGAATTTCTGGAACCAATTTTACTAGGTTTCCCTGATCTTGTTTTGTACTGATTTTTTTCCACATAATAACTACAAACTAGCCCAGCTTGTAAGCACTGTATGAAGTACAACAAACCTGAACTTCCGCCGACGATCCTGCGGATGTCGTAAGGGTTGTTGGACCGGCCGTAGACAAAGTTGGCTGACTCGTACCACATGCACAGCTCACTGACGTTAGTCACGCCCAGTATGATGCAACCGGAGCGGCGTAGGTTGTCTACCACCGGTGCGTCGCGGTCGCACACAATGTCCTTACGGTTGATGAGCCCACTAGTGTTCGGTTGATCTGTGGAGAATGATTTAGAAGCCTCTAAATAGTCAAATTTGTCAATAAAAACATAAATGTATGAAGGAGGCTTTTATTTTTTTGCTTACCTATGACGGAAAAAGCTTCCTTGACCGTCAACGGTACCCCAAGAAACGGAGCGTTCTTCTCCGAGTAGCGTTCCGGGACCTGGCCGGAGTCCAGCATTTCGTCGATCTGTTGGGCTTCGTCCCGCGCCTCGCTGAAACGATATGACACCATGGCATTCAAGAGGCCATTGACTTCCTTGATGCGATCGATGTAGGCTTCGACGATTGTCAGGCTTTTGAGCTGAAAAAAAAATGCCAAAGATCACGATATTCCTGAAGATTAATGATTGCGATTGTGAAAGTAAAGCTTTTGGATTGTGGCAACTAGAACACTTCATGATCATGGTTGCTTTCACAAACATGCACCTTTGCTTTCTTGTTTTTCCACATGTTTAGAAATCAGGAATCCATGCTGAAGTGCGGAAGTCTTGCTTTAGAATGATGTCGAAAGTAGCAGGATAGTATAAGTTTAAGCAGGACAGCCAACCCCCCTAAAAAAAACTCACGGAGAATTGAACAGTGGTTGAATTTCAGATGTTAGGATTAATATACCTTCCGTGATCTGATCTTCTTGGCCAAACTGGAAGCACTCTCCAGGAGAAGTGGGTTGCGGACTGGTGGGATCTTTGCCAGGGGACGGTCGCCATTGATGATAAAAGACATGAAGCCAAAGACGAATGTCACTAAGCTGTTGAGAAGCGACTGGAACAATATCTTCACCTCCATTCTGACCAAATTTGGCTGGAAAATTTTCTCAGTTCTATCCAAGTCAAGAAAAATGAAAAGACTACTTTTTTTGCCATTTTTAACAATGGATTACATGGTCGGGCAATAGTTAAAAAAGCGATAGGCCTAGGCCTAAGCTAAGGGCAATCGTGTATCTACAGGCCCGGTTCTAGTATAAGCATGATATTGATATTAATTATGAGAAGGGAACAAAATCAATTCTTAAATTGTTTGAGATACCAAACTAGTTGGTGAAAAAAGAACATACGGGTAGGCCTATTGATAATTTAAAGGGCAGGGTTTTGAATTTTTGAGGGAATTATGAGGGTAAAATGACGATGACAACGACAAAACGCATCACGAAAATGAAGATGCCGATTACCAGACTACACGATCATGACGATCGCCGGCCAAGTACTTTCGTTGACTTTGGCCCAAGAAATACCCTCATGATTGTGATAGTCTGACCGCTTGATCAGTGTTGATGATGATAAACTCACCAAATTAAATGATGTTTGAAAGTGTGGTCACAGAAAAAAAATAGCATGCTGTTTGCACCTGTTGTTCTAGCTTCTTGTCTGTTTCTGATCTTCGTTAATAAGAGTCGGTAAACTGATGAAATCGTAAGATGAATTGCAAAACCTCCCTGTCTACAGTGTGGGTGGCCTTTTTGATCAACAACAACCGGCGCGCCGGCGCGATAACATAAATTTGGCTGAGCGCCCTCTGTCGACAGTTTTTTTGTTATTTGGCATCATTTGGCGCAAGAGGGCGTGCTTTAAGATGCAGAGTCTGCAACTGCAACAACGAGAGAGGTCGCCCTCTAATATTATTCTTCTTGCCTGATCAGTGTGAACTGAAGTTGAATGAAGGAGAAACTCAACTGCTCTCTTTTTGACGTCCTTTTAACTTCAAAATTGCTCGTCAATTTCGAAGATATTTAGCGCAAATCACAATGAGGTATTTCACAAATCGACTTCCGGATTACAAGGCAGGCACTCCCGTGGAAATCCCGCACGAACACTTCCGTGAGCGGGTGACCTCGATTGTGGATGCCGTGGCCCAGCACGTGCAGCCCCGTCACCTGCAGAACTGCGAAGGGGGGCTGTACGTGGGCTCGGCCGGGGTAGCCTACTCTCTGCTTCACATCACTCGGACCGGGCAGTTTCCCAAGGAGTCCCTACGATACCTGGGCCTGTGCAAGCAGTACCTGGTAGGGTGCGTGGAGTACGAGAGTCGAAGCAAGAAGGAGGCCGGAGCGTCTTTCCTCTGTGGCGCGTGTGGAGTGCATGCCGTGGGGGCGCTGTACTCTTCGTCATCCAAGTCTGAGGCCAGCAATCATGCAGCCGCACAATATCTTGAAAGGTTTGCAGATAAAAAAAATTGCACTTAGGTGATTTTAGCACAAGACACGACAAGACTCAAAGAGCTACGATTATACATTTTAAGCCAGAGTCCATCATTTGCAGCTATCCAACATGTCCAAAAAGTAACTTGCATAATATTGTTGAAAAACATACTTGGTTGAAAGATAGTAGGGGACTAAACTCCCTGTGGTAGTGGAATTATTCTTTCTGGCAAGCTGTCATTTGGAAGAAATAAAAATTGAAAACATGACTCGGCAACTTTTGATTTGAAATCGAGATCCTAGAATGTTGTTTTTCTCAAAATATACAGAGCTGAAACTTCATCAGGTTAGTTGTTCAGCACCCTTCTTTAGATCTTGAGCACTTTTGTTGCTTCAAACGAACAAAATGCACAAATTACAAATGATGGACTATACCTTTAAGCATTGTGGGAAAACTAGGAAAAAATTTTTTTGCATTTTTTTCCATTGGGATCAACTGATTTCCTCGTTTTCACTTCATACTTACGCTACTAAAAATTGAAAAACACTGTTCGAGTAGTCTTGTAAAAATGGGAGTTTCCTCTTTTTTGGCTACTTCCAAGTTGCATTCATGAAAAAAATAGTTCACATAAAATGTACCTTATCCCCTTCCATCTGCGATTACACAAAATCACCTTTGAAACGGTTTTTATAATCGAGCAAGTTGCATACTGTAGGGTTAATTTTGGAAAATCACTCTTTTTCTTCCCAAATAAATTCAGTAAGTAATTTCGCTTGATATATTTTTCCCCCAGTTATGCAGGTTTTGCCAAGGTCTGTACCCCAGTCAAATTTCTGGGGCCGAGTGGATCGGACGAGTTGCTGGTCGGTAGGGCTGGATACTTGTGTGGAGTTCAACTGCTGGCCCAGAAACTTGGCAAACAGGTGAACAAAAAAACATTAATTAAGGAATTAACCCTCTTCCATGAGCCTTGCAGCATGATTGAATCATTGCCCAGTCCTCTGATTACAATATGTGTACATTTTCTGATAAACTTTAATTTGAATATTTGAATATTAAATAATTCAAATTGTCTCGGCCCTATCTTGAATATTCAAATATTTAATACTTTGACTCAGCTGTATTCAGAAGCCTTGTGCACTCTTCTTGGAGTTTTTGTCCATTTTGTTCAGAGTGATCACAAATTGTTTTCTTTTCCTTTCAGGTTTTGAGCCAAGAGGCCCTCCATACCCTGTGCAAGGTGGTCGTCGAATCCGGCCGTAACTACTCCAAACGTCACCATTCTCAGTCACCCCTGATGTACTCGTACTATGACACAGAATATCTAGGTTTGCAGCTTTGTCCCTCTTTACAAATTGCAATTCAATCACAAGTCAATCTCAAGTCAATCGCAAGGCAATCGCAAGGCAATCACAAGTCAATCTCAAGTCAATCACAAGTCAATCACAAGTCAATCACAAGGCAATCTCAAGTCAATCACAGTCAATCTCAAGGCAATCGCAAGTCAATCGCAAGTCAATCACAAGTCAATCACAAGTCAATCACAAGTCAATCACAACTCAATCACAAGTCAGTCACAAGTCCCTTACAAGTCAATCACAAGTCATCACAAGTCCATCACTAGTCAATCACTAGTCAGTCACAAATTCATATCACAAGTCCTTTTGTGTCAAGTCAGGCAAGAAGCTATTTACTTTTGATTTATCTGGTAATTGACTTGTGATTTGACTTGTGACTGAATTTACTTGTGATATGTCTAGTGACTTCACTTGAGATTATGTAGTGATTTGACTTATTATTGACTTGTGACCTGACTTGTGATTGACATGTGATTGAAAGGATGGTGCCAGCTGAGTCAAGAGCTGTACCAAAATAGTTGTGGGTGGGCCCACACCTCTTGGCCGACCGCACAAGACGTGGCAGAGCTCAGTGACAGATGACATGCGACTGCTTGAAGTCAATGCGAGGGAAGCGACGGACAGGGCCAAGGAGAGGAGAGCCATAGGGAGAAAGCAGGCCAACCCAGAACAGACTGGACAACGGCCTCAAAACCGACAATGATGATGATGATCGTGTCCTGACTTTGTGATTGAGTTGTGATTAACACCTCCAGAATGAAAGTTAGAAATATGCGTGTGCAGTTTCCAAAATGGTGCTTAAATTTGCCAGGATGGGTATGGTTTCTAGTAAATCATGCGCAGGAGTAAGGGTCAGTCCATGCTGGGCCAGTAAAATTCATTGCAGTGGACAGATTCTTCTTTTCTGATTACATTTGAGCGAAAAAAGTGGGTTTTTTTGTCTGCTTTTTTCCCCACAGGAGCAGCGCATGGTCTGTCGGGAATCTTACAAGTCCTGCTGGGCTTTCCTGATTTCATCAAGTCCGATCCCTCCATCGAAAAGGACATCCGAGATTCTGTTGACTTCCTGGTGAAATGCCAGACGGAACACGGCGGGAACATCCCACCAGCCCTGGACGAATGCGGACGCCAGACTAGACCCGCAGAGCATGAGTTGGTGCATTGGTGTCATGGGGCACCAGGTGAGTTCACAGACTGTTTCCATAAGAAGATGTGTTCGCTTCCATAGAGTTGCGATTCGTTCCTGAAAATTATTATTATTATTTCTTGGTAATGAAACCAAGGAATCCTCAAAAATGCCCAAGGCACTGTAGCTCGCAAGCCTGAAGAAACCTGTAGAGAGGAGAAAATGAGAAGAATTACAGTTTTAGAGGTGGGAGGAAAACCCCAGAAGAATATTATGGGGAAACCCACGGAATCAGGTAGGGACTGAAAACCCAATCCACATGTTGGCCCAGGCGGGATTCGAGCCCGGGTCACGGCGGTGGAAGGCGAGGAAAGTACCGCTTCGCCAACCTGACTCCCCTATGTTTTATATTATGTCAAAGGAAAAAGTCTGCTCACTGAGTTCTGTTTATCCTGTTCTTTGTTGACTCTCCTCTTCCTGAGAAATTGAACAAATTTGTCCCAGAAGTCAAAATCAATCAAGTGGCCGTGTGTCCGTGTGTGTGTTCCAGTTCACTGTCAGTTCAGTCATCATCTCAAGCAAACTTGAAAGGTGGTCTGTGGAGTGAAGGCCGACATCCAAAAAAAAAATCCTTTCAAATATGGATATTTATGAGGTCTCTGGAGAGCTCAGCTCAGTATTACTAATGACTCTCACATATGTTAGTCCTGTGTCTCACCCAAACTCTCCATTCAACCCCAAACTCCCCATTCAACTGAGAACTGGTACCTGCTGGGTGGACAATCAAGGCCGTCACTGAAAATTGTCCTTACTAACTGCCTGTACATGTACATGTATACAGGATGCCGGGGGAATCGCACAAGTTTAACTTGCAGTATTTTTGTAAGGAACAGCTGGTCCGGGTACTTCATGTCTGTGAAACAGTAAATATTCACTTACTTTTTCTTTTTCTTTATGTCTGCTCCATCAGGAGTCGTCTACCTATTCGCCAAGGCCTACCTGACATGGAAGGACGAAGCCTACCTCCAAGCCTGCCTGAGATGCGGCGACGTGACCTGGGAGAAAGGTCTCCTCAAGAAAGGTCCCGGACTCTGCCACGGCATCGCCGGCAGTGGGTACGTCTTCTTGCTCCTCCACCGCTTGACCGGCGACAAGAAGCACCTGCACCGCGCTCTTCAGTTTGCCGCATTCATGGAGGAGGACCAGTTCCGGAGAGAAGCGCGGGTGCCAGACGCACCGTACAGCTTGTACGAGGGGCTGGCCGGCACTGCGTGCTTCCTGGCGGACTTGCTGGAACCGGAAAAAGCTGAGTTTCCGTTCTTCAATGTCTTCTGAGCGTACTTTCGGAGCGTTGATTTTCAGTAGATAATTTCTTTCACTTGAACAAAGACTTGGTAGTTGTGTAAAACTAACCTTGATCTTGGGCCTACCTTGTGGATCTGCGAAACTCAGAAATGCGCTAAGCACGGAATATATTTTGCTTAGCAGATATAGATAACCAGCCAAAATGCCGTGCGATGTATATTGCTTGCAACTGGCTCTCCGCTGATTTATGCTTAGCACAATAATTTGGTGAGCATTAATTTGTGCTTATCATTTCCATGAGCTTAGGCACAATGTGAAATTATTGTAATCTTGCCCTTGCTAGTCTCTATACAGGGGTATATGCAAAACTTGCTATTTATTATTCATGTATTCGCATGTCGCTAAAAGTTAACAATTACAATTAGGTACAGTAATTGTTATCTTACCCATAGTACAGCATCAATACCCAATAAGTCTCCATACAGGTCACATGCGAAACTTGCTATTTATTATTCATATATTCGCGTGTCGTTAAAAGTTAACAGTTGCAGTGTACAGTAATTGTTATCTTGCCCATAGCATAGCATCAATACCCAATAGTCTTCATGCAGGTGTATATGCAAAACTTGCTATTTATTATTCATATATTCGCATGTCATGACAATTTAACAGTTGCAATTAGGTACAGTAATTGTTACTTGCCCACAGCACAGCACCAATACCCAATTAGTCTGAATACAGGTGTATAAACTTGCTGTTTATTATTCATGAATTCGCATGCCGTTAAAATTTAACAGTAGCAGTTTAAAGCTGTCTTTGCCAGATCTATATTTGTCAGATCAGATTCCTTTGTTACTCAATGGATGCCCCCCCCAAAAAAAAATTGTTTGCATTCTCATTAATAATAGATTCATTGACATTTATGGGGATGAAATAATAGGCCAAGCCTTTGTTGGTTATGAGACAATAAAACAATACAAAATCATAAATTCACTCCAAGTGTTTTGTTTTCAAGTCATAGTAGATACTGCATGTATACTGGTACATTTACCAGTAGGTTTATAGTTCATACTTTTGTAGATTGCTCAAAGCGATTAACAAAGAAATCTAACCTCTTTTAAAAGTTTGAATTTAATTCACTCGGTGTCTTTGAGACAATATTTTGTTTGTTGAACTTTAGGTATTAAGTGTGGAAATGGTGTTTTATGATATTGCTTGAAAATTCATCGAAATTAAGGTGTTTTTGAAAGGGAATGGTGTTAATTATTATAGTATGAAACTCAAGTGGGTTAAACCCTAATTAAACTATCACTGTTAGCAGTGTTCTTGTTAATTAAAGAGATAATAATATGAGGGAAAGGAAATACTTATTTTAAATGGTTCAAACTTAAGGTGGATCAGAGAATTATTAACTTTCGTGCTGAAGTAGGACGATTATGGAAGACATTTTAAAATCAGGATTAGAAAAGTTACAAGTTAGAAAGTTTTCACGTCTTAAAGATGTTGGCAAAATATCTTTCTTACAAGATGGCTGTTATTTGATGAAATGAAACTGAAGATATAAAAATAAAAATCTTTTTAATTCTTACCCTGATGTATTCTTTTGAGCAATATTTTCAAAAGTGGTTATGATTAAAGATATACTGTATTTTATCATTAACAAGCTCTTTTATATTAATGTTTAATTTTTTTGAGTATGTGTTTGTTTATTTCAACTCTCTCTATTCGTCAAAAACTATACAAGCTCAATATTGTGCAAAAGATTTTTTTTTTACCCCTCCCCTGATGCAGCTCCTAAACCCCGCCCCTTCAATCCTCCCCTGAAGTAAAGGTTGGTACCCGAAGCCCGTACACACGTTAAATAATTATCAAGCGTTCGGATACCAGATGAACCCGTGACGAAGTTATTTTCAAGGCAAAGCGAATATGATTGGCTGAGAAATGAGTACCGGGAAAATTTTAGCCAATCAACGAATGCGTTGTGGGAGTGCTCGGAAAAATTATGGGATATCACGTGCGCGCCATGAATTTCTGCGCTATCGCGTGGGGGAAAGTCGCCCGGTGGATTATTTAACGTTGTTTTTGGACGTGGAATTTTACCCGAAATGAAGGAAATATCTTCTCATTAGGAACTTGGAATTACTCTTTCATAATCATGGATGCCGTGCGGGTATTCAACAATGAGGTAAGATTTTGCAATCATGCAATTTTTTTAAGTAATGATTTTTGGATATGACCAACCCGGTTGCGGCTTTGCCGCAGTTTTCACACAATCGAAGATCATCATGTCATCGACTGCCGGTCTGGGCGTTTTATTCGCCCAGGCACGGCCATTTTATTAACGATTTCTGCCCCATAATGTTAACAAAGGTTTGTTTAATATACGACCCTTTATTAGAAAAGTGTGGTATGAAAGAACACGGGAGAAAATGGAGATTGATGTAGACAAAACTCGTGAAAAGGCATGAAAAATGAAAGCGCCCTCTGTTGGTCGAACATTGAAATCAAGTGGCATCTGGATTTGTTTTATTTTATGAACTGTTATGGGCACAATTTGAAGGAGATGTTAAGATTTGCACAAACATGACAAATAAGATATTCGCAGGGAAACTTATTTAGAGGTATTTTTTTCAGCAATTGCAAGTCTTTTTTTTAATATTTGTGTTTTTGTGGTTTTCTATCTCTGAAATTAAATAGAAATAGGCATATGCTCCCCCCCCCCCCCGCCCCCATAGTTACCTGCCCATAGGCCTTCTTTTCTATAATTTTTATTGTATATGAAAAAATAAGTTCCATAGTTTTGGAAACATTGTGTGGTAATTTTCAATATTAGACGGCGCCTAAATATTTCTTAAATCGGATGGTGAACATCATATGAAATCAGTTCTAGAATTAAAAATAAATTGCATAGTTTTGTAGACAATTTAATATTTATTTTTATGGCAAAATTTCCCATTTCACTTTCAATTCTTCTGTGTACGATGCAGCATTTTGTAACTTTAAATTCATCTCATTACACTAAATTTTATTTTTGTTGGAAAAAGGATGGCAGATATACAAACTAATGATGGTCGTTCATCATCACCAAATTTGTTACTTTATAAAGTTGAAAGGGACACAGTGTCATATGAGGATTTACAGAGTCACGAAAGACTTGTCAACATTTTTCAAAGATCAGTAAAAGCCTACATGTAGTTCCCAATCAACAATTTTTTTAACAACTTTTTTCTAATGTACAGTACTTTTTGGGTAATTATTCTTTCTGTTAACCCTAGCTCCCTAGGCATTTTTGCTAGGATGTAACCTCAATCCTGCAAAATCCTCCAACCAAGCGGGGGAAATAATAGAAGTGTGCGGTTGATTGCAAAATCTGCAATTTTTTGGATCTGCAATTTTCTGTTTTGTGGCCAACTTTCATTCTGTACAAGCATTACGTTCACTGTGTGGACTTCCGAACATAAGCTGTCCACATAAACCAGTTTTCAGATACATTGTGTGGACTTGCCCACGCCCACACAAGGTTTCCTCCTCTCTGGAAAACAGTTTTAGAGGCATTTTGGGGTTAGGTTTATTTGTCGCAAAATGAAGAGTAATACTCAAGAGAATCATAAAAAAAAAATTGGTTTGGAAGAGTTTGCACAGTGTGAGTAAAATGAGGGTTTTTTTTCAAAGATTTTTCTTAACTACACGAAAACAAAGGAATGTCCACACTAGTTATGTAACATAAACATGTCTGTGTTTGTAGGTGTCTAGTGGAGGTTTTGACATCAATTTCATAAAACTTTTAGATAGCGTAAGTGCAAAATCTCAGATTTTGGACACTAGATTCAAAATCTTTTGTTCTTCCGTGAAAGTGTGTACGGGCAATTCCACGGTTAGTTTCATTACATTTTAAAGATATAGTCCATCATTTGTAATTTGTGTATTTTGTTCGTTTGAAGCAACAAAAGTGTTCAAAATCTAATGAAGGATACTGAACAACTAACCTGATGAAGTTTCAGCTCAGCTTCAGCTGTATATTCCGAGAAAAACAGCATTCTAGGATCTCAATTTCAAATCAAAAGTTGCTGAATCATGTTTTGAATTGTTTTGAATTGCAGCTATACGCGATGTCGCGCACTGATCCGACGAATTATAGCAACCGCGCGCGCCTGTGCGTCGTGCCAATGCTTGCGCGCGCTGCACCGAATAACAAAACGAACTACTAATTTAAATTTTCCTACAGTGCATCTTAAGACGCACCGTTGGAAAGGCCTTCTTTCGTTGATTACTTCAAAATGATAGCTTGCCAGAAAGATTAATTTCACAGGGAGTTTTGTCCACTTACTATCTTTCAACCAAGTATGTTTTTCAACAATAAAATGCCAGTTACTTTTTCGGATGGTTGCAAATGATGGACTATAGCTTTAAGGAATGGAGCTCCACTCTTTCGGCTCCAATATCAACATGTGTGGGTATCAATTGTCCATTTTGGTGTTTTTCCAGAAATGTTAATAGCAATTGTAACACAAGCATAAGCAAAATCACTTAGACTACTTATGTGAGTTGCAATTCGACATCTAATCTTGGTTGGTTTTGTCATTGCAAAGAATGTTTCCTCAAATTGGAATGTAGCTGAAACAAATTATAGTATTTCTGTAATTTCTTACTTATAGGGGGGGGGGGGGCCTACTGGCAAATGTTTTGACATATAACATTTCTCAATTTCCCTCATCAGAGTAAAGCATTGCAACAAATCTTTGTTAGTTATTGTTACGGTTTAAGTTATGCTACAGTTTTTCCGCCAATCTTAGGTACAAGTTAGAATGCCATACATAAGAAACTACTTAACAAAAAAAAGCTCTTTTGATATAGGATATGAACCTTTCTCTTTGCCTTAAAAACAAAAGCTCACAATAACACTCACGTTTTGCATGTTAAAACAAGGTGCCAAAATGACTACTGAAATCCATGTTGGCCCAAAACCAGGGTTTTTTTTTGTGGCCAAAAAAAAAATACTTCATTTCATCTCACTTGCACTCCACTCAAATGAAAGATCTTGTTATCCCCTTAAATTTGATACCACATTTGAGGTTGTGGTGCTTGTAGTTCTGAAGATTTAAAGGGTTCCTGCGATGAAGCTTTCTTAGGAACACATTTTGTGCAACTTTCTGCTCCTCTTAAATGTATGAAACTGATTTGACATTCCTTTTTGGTTAATTTTATTGGAAAGTGCACTTCTTTAAACATTTAAAATATTCCAGGCTTTCCCAGACAACTGAGAGCGCTGTTGCTGTGATGTCATTTCAGGAACACACTGTTCAGTTTAGTGGTTTTCTGTTGAAATTTTGAACCCAAAATGTGCACATTAAAAACACATGTGAGAAAGGGTTGCTCATTGGCTTACTGCCAAACAAAGAATCACCAAAGACAAGAAAATTTACGACAGCCAAATATCCAATTCTAGCAACTTTTTGTGCTGAAATACATGTAGCTGTAACATTTGAGTTTTCTGCCCAGAATGACATCACAGTTTTGCTTATGGATATGGAAATTTGCATTAGCATAAAAACAAAAAGGACACCAAAATATCCTTTAAAGTGGCAAACCACAAATTGAAAATAATGTTAAATGGGACAATGCAGATTCAAGGATTGCATTAACCCTCCTATGCAAACATACATTCTGTGCAATTAGTCCTCAGTCAAAATCAATCAAGTGACTGTTTTCAAAAGTTAAGAACTCCCAGCCTACAAAAAGCAAGATTGAATGGCCGTGACTGTTTTTATGTAACTCACCACAGCTTTGCTTTGGTTGTAGGTAATTGAGAAGCCAGCTGTGCCCACAACTTGCCTGCTTTGTTTGTTCATGGTCTGTTGACTGTGTTTGACTAGCCACAGTGCTTGCTTAACATTATGATCTGCAGAGATGCCACTTTTCCGGTTTTAACCGGAATTCCGGTTTTTAAAAAAAATCTCACAAATTCCGGTTTTTCCGGCCGTCAAATTAACCAGAAAAGAGAAGAAGAACTGTGGAAATGCGTTGATTTTTACCTCGATTTAGTACATTTAGGCGCACGAATGGCACAACGTTGTTCGTTGAAGTAGTCTTAAAAACAGTCTTTGTGTATGTTGTTGCCGAGCCTGCATGCGATACAAGCGGCCAACGTACTTAATTGCACGCAGTATACAATGGCGCCTCGCGCGTGCTTCACCGCGTGCGGGTGTGTTGTGTGCTAACCACACGTAGCATTCAGCCTGGAAATCAAGTCTATCATTTCAGCTATCGGTGGTTTCCGATCGCAGTGATATATGTGAATACAAAAATTGCGGGTACCAACCATGTTTTCGTTGAGCGCATCGCGTAGTGCAAGGATCATGTACACCGACAGCAGTGTTGTGGAATCATGCATGTTTCGTGTCGAATATTACGTTGGAAATTCGGGTAGGCAGAATAAATATTAGGAATTTGGAAAAAGTCAAAGTGATTGAACGAACCGACAGCTTTAAAGGCCATAGAAGCAAAATTAAAAAATAAACAGAACTTGGCTTGGCTACAAGATAAAGATGACAACGGGGACTTTGTGTCGGACACGGAGTGGCTTTTTCACACACAAAAGAGTCCGTTTTTTTCATGCAGCCGTTCCTTTTTTTTTCAAGCAGACCCAGTTCCGTTTTTTTCAAGCAGACCCTGTGGCATCTCTGGATCTGACTGCTGGTGACTAGCCTGCGTTAAAATTATATCAAGGGAAGTGGATGGAAAATTTTGACTGTCTGTGGCTGCTTAAATAACAATTTTAATTGAAAGGGCTTTAGAAGGTGCAGTTCAGCAAGGGCTAAATGATGTACTCATGTGTTGCTTTTTCAGCTGTCGAGCTTGTACGAGAGCAAACCGCCCATCTCTCGGGCCAAGATGACCCAGGTCACCAAGCTGGCCATCAAAGCCATCAAGTTCTACAAGCATGTGGTGCAGAGTGTGGAGAAATTCATACAAAAGGTGAGTCAGAAAAGTTAGCAAAGCAGAGGACACACCATTGAGAACAGGACTTGACCTTCAGCTGAAAATCTTGAACTAACTGCAAAATTTACAAAATATTAAGTACTTTACATGATAGTAAAGTCTGTCATGATCCAATATGGCCTATCAGTGTTTATCTCTGCTTTTATTGCATGAAATTACTGAGAATATTTCTTCCCCCCCCCCCCCACCCCTCCCCAATGGGATGCCAGTCCATCACAGGTTGCTCCCAGGCTAATGCCTGTCCTCAGTTCTACTCCTGAGTGGAGAGAGAGTAGTGGGAGTAAAGTGGCTTGCCCAAGGACACAACATGTGGCCAGCAGCTGGATTCGCACCCCTGACCCTCTGCTCATGAGTCACGAACCCTAATCACTATTCTCCCACACTTTTCATAATAGCCTACTGTTGCCAAAATAGAGAAAATCACAAATTTGAATTTTGATTGAAAGGCAATAATGTTTGAAGGCTAAATCCATCTTCAACAGCTGTTTTGTTTGATGTTAAACTGATCTGTAGGAAACAAAAATGGTGGTGAAAAAATTTGAAAGTAGCGAACTTTTTCATTTTCTTGTTGGATTTAGCTTTGTGGTTATTAGTTCACTGTAATTTTAGCCCTGTTTGTGTAAACGTAACATACAAATTAACTTTTTTTTTTTTTTTTTTTTGGGTAGTGTCGGCCAGAGTACAAGGTGCCAGGCCTTTATGTCATTGATTCTATCGTCAGGCAGTCACGCCATCAGGTAAGTCCAAGAATCACAAAATGCAAAGCTTATTCTGGAATCCCATAATTATTGGAATGTTGTACCGTGGGTATTGAGCTAATGAGAACAAATAATTGTTAAGTTGGAATATTGTGTATTTGTGATTGGGCAGTCCCACTCTGTCTGACATACATTTTTGGACAGTGCAACGGTGTACATAATTACAGTTATAAGCATAAAGTGGATTTTAATTCCGATAAAGCATATTACTGATTTTAAAAAAACAAAGAAATTAGTCATTGAGCTTTTTTGCTTCAAAATGATATACATGTTTCATTTGTGGCATATGGACCATTTTGAAATGTTGGCATTGTTCATAATTATGTGGCATTTCCCAAATCCAAACACGCTGATCAGATTAATTTGTCAGGAGGATCACTTAATATTGATTGGAAACAAATCGTACTTTCTCTAAATTGAAATTTGATATCATGACATGATGAACAATTTTACATTTGAAAATCTAACCTTTGTTCGGAATTTATTTTTCATCCTGTTTTTGTTTTTGTTTCTCAATAAATTAGTTTGGACCTGAGAAGGATGTCTTCGCGCCTCGCTTTGCCAAGAACATCGTCAACACCTTCCAGTTCCTCTTCAAGTGTCCCCCAGAGGGGCGGGCCAAGATCGTCCGGGTCCTGAACCTCTGGCAGAAGAACTCCGTCTTCACTGCGGATCTCATTCAGCCTCTGCTGGACATGGCGAATCCGGAGAAAGCTGGTAAAGTTCAGCTCTTAATGCCAAATAACTTTGAAATTTAACCTTAACCCTAACCCTCTAGGCCCTTGTTGCTTACAACCATCCTCAATCCTCAAAAATCCTCAAAATTTTTCCAAAATTTTGCAACTCCGCCTAAATTTTTCAAAATTGTCAGACAGTCCTGCCTCAAAATGCATTCATCCTCAATCCTCCAAAATTCTCCTCATCCCAAAACTTTGCACTCGTGTTTAAATGAAGGATAACCAACGCCAAATCCTTCAAAATCATCAGACAGTCCTGCCTCAAAATGCATTCATCCTCAATCTTCCAAAATCCTCTTGTGCTTCAATCACCATTCATCCTCAATCCTCCAAAATCCTCATGTGCTTCAATCACCATTCATCCTCAATCCTCCAGAATCCTCATTTGATTCAATCACCATTCATCCTCAATCCTCTAGAATCCTCCAAAACCGCTAGGAGGATTTTGGAGGAGTGAGGTGGGTTAGGGTTAACGTACCTGAATCCATCAAAATCCACACCCCTGTTTTGGAGGATTCCGGCGTATTCAGGATACCTCCATATTGAAAACGTTTGGGGAATTTGATGGATTCAGGACAGTAAGCCTAGCGGTACTGCAGAATTTTGATGGATTCAGGATACCTCCGTATTGAGCAGTTGGGAGACTTTGATGGATTCAGGATCTCAACATTTTAACTCCTTGGATATGTTTAGTGCGTACGCGGTATATGTACTACGCTGGTGGATTCTGATGGCTCACTGGTGGATTCTGATGGACTCGGGACATCAACATTTTTTTCGTGACAAAATTGGTGGATTTTGGCAGATTCAGTATATTTTCTTGTAAAAGTGCTCCAAGGGTTAGGGTTAAAAGGAAAGTTTACTTTTAATCCCCACCTTCCTCTGAAATCAACCGGGGGCTTTTGGAAGATTTTGGAGGTTTGAGGCTGTACGCCTGTTAGATGCGGCTTGATTTTGGAGGATGCAATGTGTCAAGGTCTTAAGCTGTACCCTGCATTGTTTATGTTCAGCTATGCATAATGGAGGCCTACATTATGCTGGATATCATCCGTACTGCTTCTGTGTATCATCCGCACTGCTCCAACGTCTTTAAGTGAGTTGGAGGATTTTGAAGGATTGAGGCAGCGGTCACCCCTCCACAGAAAATTACAGTAATAACCAACGATTTCGGAGGATTAAGGGTAGTATCCACATTTTACCGTAAGGTAGTTTAGGATTGAGGATGAAACCATTCTATTTTTTATTTTTTTGGTTACATCCCACAGCAGCTGCAGAGGCCGCAGTGACAGCCCCGCCCGTCCCCAAATCAGACAAGCCAGATGTCAAGGCGTGGCTGTCCCAAACCACCGAGCCCAAGGCGGGAAAGAACGACGCCCCTGCTAAAGATGATGCCCTGAGCACGGTCCAGCAGATCCTGCAACAAACCCAGCAACAGCAGATTGTAAGTAAACTGGGTCTATGAAGGTTAAAGCAGCTCTTTTTATGAAAGTTCCCAATGCTCTTTTTGAGCTTCATCCCGAAAAATAGATCCCTTTTCTAAATTGCTAATTTTCTGGCAAAACAAATGTTATTCTCTTTTGAGTGAGACATGGACTGAAAAAAAAAATTGGCTGTGTATTATTACTGAATTGTTTATTACTGTACAATTTCGAATTAGGGGTAATGGGATAGGCTGGCTCACACCCCACAATCAGTATCGTTAATGTACATGTACGGACTGGGAACCAGTCTTCTTGCTAAGTTGATCTGTTTGTTTATAAAACAGAAATCTTTGTTCAGAGGATTTCAGACTTCCAAAAAAATTTGAATGAGTTTTGAGGTTGGAATAAAACATACAAGTTGGAACTTTATTAATAGAAAATAAAATCAATTTGATGAAGAGCACGAAGAATGCAACTTAAAATTGTGGATCCTTCCTGACTGGCCATCAAACTGTGTCTGTTGACCAATTAGATCATTAGTTTCAGTCAGGTGACCATGGTTTCTCGATCAAGGTCCATCGCAAGCACTGTGTAAGATGTATGCAATTCAGTGGTGGGAGGGGCTTATATGCAAATTGGAAACAGTCCAAAGGCAAAGGGTGGAGACACTTATATTGAATTTGCATATTGAATATAGTATCATAAGTTCGCACCCGTTTTTTTATAAGCATGTCTTGATACCAGGCATTGACTAGTGTAGGCACAGAACTCACACGTTTGCATGATCCATTGCCCGGAAGTTCACGTCAATTTTTCTTATATATAAAAATAAACATGGTTCACGTTTCCCCACAACAGCAGCAGCAGCAACTGCAGCAGTTGCAGCAGCTACAGCAGCAGCTGGAGCGGCAGAAGCAAGTGACAGACATGACAGCGAGCAGCGGCAACACCGGCCTCGTCCTGGACAGCAGCCTCGTGGACCAGATCCAAACGCTGACAGCCTACCTGTCAACCCTGACTGGGAAGGTGAACGCCACCGGCAGCAGCAGCACCAACAACGCAGGCAGCAGCAGCAGCAACAGCAAGTCGATGGAGAGCAGCAAGCCAGCGGTGCCAACGCCGGTCCCTGCGCCTGGGGCTGAAGCCAAGGCGCTTGGCTTCAATAAAGTAAGTCCAAGTGAACTTATTTCAATATTTAAAAAGTGAAACAAAGAAATTTACTGGAGCAGGGTTTGACTATGCGAGTTGTACAAAGACATTGACTACATGGGGAACCGCGAATGTAGGTCTGAATAGTTCAGTTGGCCTCAAGCCCTTAAACTTTTACGATCCCAACATTTTTCTTATCCACAGGCATTGCTAGACTTTGACTACGGAGACGAGGAGGAAGAAGACACCAAGGAGCCCCACCCAACGTCCATCCCCCAGCCCAAGGCCTCAGGCCTGGAGTCCAACGTACAGGCCGTCCAGAGATTGACGGAGGAGCTCAAGAACGCCCAGAGCCAGCAGGAGTTCTTACGTCTGCAGCTGAGACATCAACAACCGGCGATGCCGCCTATGCCTCCGGGCTATGCCAAGATGATGCAGGTGAAGATTAGGCCGGGATGACAACAATATGTATATAAAACCAAAACACAAAAAGCCTAACTCTCCAAGCATTTTGGCAAGGAAGCTGTCTGAGTCCTCTGTAATCTTAGGGCGAGAAATTCTGACGGGTTGGGCCTCGCCGTTCAAAAGCCAGGCCATACTTCGGCTTTCTGGCTTCTATATTCCCTACCCTTGACTAATAGGTTGTCCGTTAAAAGCCTGTCCTTGCTCATTGTTCGCAATCACTTGATTGACAGTTTCAGTCCTCTTTGATAATGCCGAAGCTATCGCTTTGAGCTAACAAAGGGAACTAAGGAGCCAGGCTGCTCATGCTTCAGTAGACACGACACGCAACTGTGGCTATTGCCTTGAAAGGTGGCTTCTTACAACGCAAGTTGCTGTTGATTTCAAGTGTGAAGACATGACTCCTTTCTATTGCTGTTCATACACTGTGAATGAGTTTGGTAACACTGTCCTTGTATAACTTTTAAAGGGCATCAGATCTCATTCAAAGTAAGCGGGGCTGGGCTGTACCCTACTCAGTCCCGCGGAGCCCTCAAACTCCTGGTGGGCGGGACTTAACCAAGTAGGATCTGAACTACATTGTATTAGATTGTGTATGTTCACTGGAAGTTGGATCTCAATGATGTCTGTTTATGGATGGGACTGTTCCCCCACCACTACAAACGATGATTGTTATAGTACTGCAAATGTTTTTCCTTCCACAGCCCCCGGAGCCCGAGGCTCCGCCAGAGCCAGCGACCGAGGCGCCCACCATCAATCTGGACCAGGACCCAGACGAGGAGATGCTGCAGATGCAGAAGCTGCAGCAGGAAGCGGCAGCCATGGAGGAGGAGGAGCAGCAGCAGCAGCGGCGGTCAGGGCGGCGGCACCACGACGAGGATCAGGAGGAAGGGGAGATTGTGTCGTCGCACAAGCGGTCTCGACACCGCGACAGAAGCAGGTAGGCATATAGGCTAAGGTCCCATGTCACACGATAGAGATAATTCCTTAACCGTTGAACGGTTCCAAAAAGATAGCCCTGCCAACCACTTCAGAATGGAGTGCCAAGCAGTTCAGGCTTCACCGCTCACAAGTTAGGTTGGAAGGAGTTCCACTTTGGCCGAATCATTCAGTGCTGATCTTGGCATGCAAGATTTTAATCTGTTGCGTTAACAAAAGTCTTGGCTCTGGGAGATTAGTGGTGGGTGAACCTTTGAAGTTTGGGATTACACACACGTCTTTGATAGGGGAAGCAAGGGCGAAAATGCCCTCCTTTTTGTTCCACAGCTGGACTGGATGGCAAGAGGCCCATCATTTTAGAGGACCTCAAACTGTTGGAAAGAAAATACCCAAATGATTTGGCTAATTATTCAGCGCAATCATTCGGCATTTGGCGAACTGTTTTGTATTGTGACATCGGCCCTATGTGCTTGAAAGTCAAAACCCATCTGAACTTACCATAGTGCAATGGGATTGGGCGAGGTTTCAAGCTCTATGAGAAGCTTGTCTTTCAGTGTCATTTTGTTTTAAGACTGCATATAGAATTTTGATAGACAGATCAACTGTTGAATGCACACACCCTCATATACACAAAACTGCTTGGGTGAATGCAAGACCAAGACCATGCAGTCTGGCTCTGCTTTATTACTAATCAACTGTTTTATTTTCATGGTTTGGACTAATAACTATTATGTTACACTACCATTGTTTACTTGGACAAAGATGTCACAGATTAAAATTATGACTTATACCTGAATTTGATGGTTCTTAACACGTATTAAACAAGGCTCCGTACTGACTAATCTGTCAACCGCCATTTTCTGAGGTGGTACCAGGCTTGCATGAGTCGCGCTCAGGTAGTACGCAGGCACTCTGGGCTCCTTCGACCAATTGCGTTATCAAAATGCGCGCTTGCCTTGTCTTTTAAGAATGCGTGCAGCATGCGCATGAACGTGGTACCACTGCAGTAACAGCTTCTAATTCTGGTCGCCGGATTCCGCTTTAACATAAACTGTGCACGTATTTAACCAATTTTCCTCTGTATTGTTTCTTTGCTGCTTCTTATATTACACACGGAATTACCAGACAAAGGTAGGTCAGTTGTATGTTGGCAGACCTTCCACGCATTTTTCGAAAACATGTGCATGCCATTTGTCTTTTGAGACTAAGTTTGAGGCTACAACAGTTCAAACTCAGGCTGCTTTTGTGTCTAAGTATAGAGGATGTTTGGTTGAGTCTGAAATGAGGTAGCTGAAGGCATTGTCTGCATTCCTTTCTTTCCTTTGTTTAGCTTGTTTAGCTCATTTGTAGAATTGTGCTTATAGAGACTTGGTAATGTAGTGGTAGAAGTGTTTTTACTAACATCCATTGGCAAAAAATTATAGTTACGAATGTTGGCCTGTTCTGAAAAACTCGCAAAATTTCCTAAAACTCTTATGAATATTTGTTGCAGATCCCGATCTCGGTCCCCAAAGAGAAGGCGATCGCGGTCCCACTCCCGGTCCCGCTCAGGCTCCCGCTCCCGGTCCCGTTCCAAGCGGAAGAAGAGGTCACGTTCTCGCAGCCGCACCCGTCGCTCCAAGCGGTCGAGGTCCCGGGACAAGCACGAGAGGCGAAGGGATCGGGACGAGGAGGAACGCCGGAAGGACAAAGAGAAGCGAGAGAAGGAGAGGGAGAGGGAGAAGAAGGGTCTTCCACCTCTCAAGGAGAAGCATCTCAGTGGTAGGATATTCCTGAGATAATATACAGACATGCGCCTTTTCCTTGGATCCGCTCGTTTTTTTCTTCTCATTAATGCCATTACAAATTGAAAAATAATGTACAAAGTCTTGTGTGGATTGAAGTTTCCTCGTTTTTCTTTTCTCGAAATTTCTAGTTGCATGCCTAAATATCTCAGTAGTAGGAGATGATTTAGTATAACTACTGGTTATAATGAGACTATTGTGTAACACATCTTAGTGGTAAGAGATTCCTGAGTATTGAATCTCAGTAGTAGGAGATTCCTGAGTTTAACATCTCAGTGGTAGGAGATATTGTGTAAAACACCTCAGAGGTAAGAGATTCCCACATATTGAATCTCGGTGGTTGCCGATTCCTGAGTATAATATCTCAGCGGTAGGTGATTCCTGCGTGTCTAATCTCAGAGCTAGGAGATTCCTGAGTATTTGGGATACATCTGAATTCAAAATTAAATTTTAGACAAGAAAAAGCAAACGTGACTTTTGACTTGGCCTCAATCATTTTGTACTGACTTGGATGATGAATAGCACTCAGACTTTCAGGTAGTTATCTTTTTGACTTGCAGTGTAGACCTTTTTTATGTGAAATTGGCTTTAACAGAGGCATTTTTCTACCTTGTTATTCCTTTCTTTGCAGTCTGTACCAAGACACTCTGGGTTGGCCGATTGCCCAAGCTTGGAGCTGAGAGTGAACTGAAAAATTATCTCGAGGATTTTGGACCCATTGCAAAAGTTGACGTAAGCTTTAAATGCAGATAAATTTTAAAGTGTATTTTCGTCGAGCATTTCAACAAAAACATGTATGTGTTTTACAAAATATTCAGCACTCTTGAAAAACTGCAGCCGTTCAGCTCCAAACTGACCTTATTCGGAAATTAGATTGAACTTTTAATGTGAATTGCAAATAGTGATACCTTACAATTTATGTGGAATCCTTCATTATCTATTTTCAACAGTTGGTACCCCCGAGAGGATGTGCTTACGTCTGCATGGAGAACAGACTGGATGCTTACAAGGCACTGGAGAGGTTGCGGAGAGGCAAGATGTTTGGAAACTCGGCCAAGGTACATATAGCATTGATAACGAGCCAGTTCGCTATCTCGATGAACTAGTCCAGGTCAGAGGTTGTGGGGGATAAGATCACTAACGCGATGTTCAGCAAACACCTATTCCGCTCGTAATTAATGCGGGGGCGTTGTGCGAGCATCTCCTTGCATGTTCACCCGCCTTCGATGAGTGTTTTATTATTCCGAATGACCTGAGACCAAGATTATTGTGCGCATGCGCAGTTGAAATACCGGACTGGCTTATTATTAAACCATTCTGATGCGATAATGTAAAATGTGTTGAACATCACACCAATAAAATGATCTGTGATGCCCTATGTAGGCTACAAGATCCACGCCTTTCTGATTCTGCATCAGCATTATTCTGACATCCTGTTCTTGCCTTCCAGATTGCCTGGGCCCCTGGCAGGGGTGTGAAGGAGTACAAGCAGTACAATGACTTTTGGGAGGTAGAGAAGGGGGTGACCTACATTCCCTGGGACCACCTGCCCTCGGAGGTGGACCTCAACGAGCTGGCAGAGGGAGCAGCCATTGACGAGGCCACACTTCCTCCTGGCATGAAGCTAGGTGAGTCCAAAAGATGACCGTCTCCAGATGTGTTTTATTCTTTGTGCGAGAACTGTGCCTTGTTTGCTGTAGATAAGCTTGTTCATTAGTGGTACAAGTACTGATGTTTTTTTAATATGTTTGTACTTGCAGAGTTGCCAGTTGAAGAAATTGAAGAGGAAACCCCAGCTCCTGGGATAACTCATCCCACTCAGATGATTGCGACTGCCATGGGAGGCCAACCTGTGGCCCCTGGGATCATGATGCAAGGCCTGGGTCTAGTCAGGCCCAACATGGCCCAGGCCATACCCACAGTCGACCTCACAGTGCCAAGCACCCTTCAGCCCATGTCAATCAGACCCAGAATACCTGGCCCTGTTCCACCCACCACTAGCCAACCTCAGGCCACAGTGCCAAGCGCCACTCCCGAGATGGTCCGCATGCCTGTGTTCCAATCCGGCGTGTTCCCTCCCTTTGTTGGATACACTCCACAGATGCCACCGCCAGGGTTCCGCTTCGCTCCAGGTTTCCAAGCTCCACCCACAACAGCTAGCATTCCAGTTAGTACGGTTCCATCAGGCGTACCTCCGCCTTCACTCTTCCCAAGGGGAGTGCCCCCTCCTACCAGCCAGCCAGGCCTGCCAGCAACCACTGCTATGAAAATAGCTACCACCGTGGAATCAAGTAAGCCAAACACAAGTGATGACAAGCCGGACTTCAGAATCCCAGGACTTGGTGGAGATCCAGTGTCTGGTAGAACACAGGAGAGCCATTTGCAGCTGCAAGGAGTGCCAGTGATGGGGGTACCACGTCCAGGCTTCCCCTTCTCTATGGCTTCCCTACAGCGCAGCATACAGCAACAAGGAGGCACTCCAACCAGCCTGATGGGAGTTCATCCAGGCCAGCCGGGAACCCTGCCACCAGTATTCACCCAAGACCTCAGGTTAGGATTGCGGCCGCCCATGATGAGACCACCTGGGCCTGTCACCATCTCACAACTGGAAGGAAGTAACTCGGATGTAACAAAACAGGCTAAGAATGATGAGGGCCGACCACCGACCTCTGGAGCAAATGAAAAAGGGGATGTGGGTCCCCCTCAGGGTGTCTTTGCAGTGCCAAAGCCACCAGCCTCAATTCTTGGTAAATTCAAGGATCACATGGCACAAAGGGTCCCCTCTCCTGGCATGCCCGGAAGGAAGGATATTGATATGAGGGAAGAGAAGGTCCCCCTGACTGGCACCAATCACTTGGAAGGTGGCCCAGCCACTGGCAACACTGACCAAGACAAGATGGGTCTACGTCCTCCGATGTCTCAGGAGCATATTCTCACGGATGCTAATCGATTTCCTCCTGGTGTTCGTCTGATGAGACCGCTCATTGGCATCCAAGGGCAGCCGTTGATTCAAAGAGCCGTTGCACCAGGATTTAGGATGAGACTTCCTGGACCTGGACAGCAGTTTGCAATGCAGGGACAGATGATCCACATCCCAAATCAAGGGATGCAGCCCGGGGGACCCCAACTCCAGATGATGGGCATGAGACAGCTTCATCCAGGGATGATGGGTGGATCTGTTAGAGGAATGATCCCTCCTCAGGGGATAGCAAGCTCTGGAGGAATGCACAGGCCAGGAGGTATGGCACCCCCAGGTGGAATGCCTCAACCAGGTGGGATGCCGCCACCTGGAGGAATGCTCCCACAAGGCAGTATGCAACCTCCTCAAGGAGGAATACCTCCTCGTGGAGCTATGCCACCGCCCTCTGGAGTACCTCCAAACAGCAGACCACAAGCAAGAGGTAATCAGGCAGGACAACAGGAGGCAGAAACCCGTGAGCCATTCCAGCCAGGCATGAGAGGCGGACCACCTCAGATTGAAGGAGGGAGGGTTGACAGCGAGCGCAACCAGGATGGAGCACCAGAACGAAGTGGAGCTGGACGTAGCCGATGGGGACCTCCTGTGCCTCCTGCTGGGGAGAGAGAACGTATGCTACCTGACCGTGGTAGACCTGCCCCGGAACCCTTGATGGGTAAAGGAGACAAGGATTTCAGTGAGAGGGACATTGACATGCGAGAGAGGAAGTGGCTTGAAAGGGGCTGGCATGACCGGGATGATCGGGAGAGAGTTGGGATTGGGATGCGTGACCAGGATTGGCGATTACCACCTGGAGGCCCAAGAGGACCTGATTGGAACCGAGACCGAGATGACCGTGGCTTTGTGAGACCAGATGATAGAGACATACGTCGGCCAGATTTTGGCCGCGAGTGGAAACGACCAGGAGATAGAGACATGGAGAGGGAACCATTCCGACCTGATGTGGACCGTGGTCGGGAGCCAGAAAGGAACCGGGAACAGGACAGGGGTGGCTTCCGGGACCGCGACCGGGACTTTATGCGAGGACGGGACAGAGATCGAGACAGAGATCGTGACAGAGAGGTCATGCGGAGCCGTGACAGAGACCGCGATCGTGATAGGAGAGATCGCGACCGGGACCGAGATCGCAGGGAACGCTATGACGATAAACCACGTGAAGGCACCAGAGATGAGCCCGTTGATGACCAAAAAGTACCCCCTGAGCCCAGTCCTCAACAATCCCCGAAGCCATTGTTGAGTCCTGCACCTGTTGGCCAGCCTCCAAGTGGAATTCTTAAACAACCCTCTGAAGCGGCTAAGCCAGAAGCAGTTGCTAAGGATCAAACTCCTGAAGCCAGCAGCTCTTCACTCCCGAATCCTTCACAGGCTGTACCTCCCAAGTCCCCTCTATTCCAAGGTCTACCACCAGCTGCTGATAAAGAGCCTGTGATTGCTGCTGCTGCACCTGAGCCGCACAAGCTCAATCCCCTTGCGGAAGCTTTTGTGCCCAGTGGAGCTGAAGAACCTCCAAGGGCAAAAACCCCTCAGGGACTCTATGCAGATGTCCCGGACCCAGTGCAACCTCAAACTCAGCCACCTCAACAGGCTCTTGAATCAGGGCCAGAGAACAATGGCCCTTTACCCAACATCCCTCCAATTGAAAATGAGAGAAGGAACTCTGATAATGACCAGGTGAATTCAGCCCCACCTTTGGGCAATTCGTTGAGCGACAGCAAAGCCAAAGAAAATCCCCCCACAGAGAGTGCGAGTGAAGTCGCAGTGGGAGGGGAAGGGAATGCAGTCAGTGCCGAGGAGACTGAAAATACGTGAAGCTCTGATGCTGAAGGAGATGGCTGAACAAAACTTTGGGATTTTTGGTCTGGAATCCGTTCTAAAGAAACCCGGACTCGTGCTCTGCAAGAAATGGGTCTCCTTCTACTTAATCTTATTCAAATTGGCCAATAAGTTGTCACATGGACTTGCAATTGTTCATTGATTTCCTTTCACTCAAGCCATACTTCAAGACCTGCGAATGCTAACTGCTAGTTCACAGATGTTAAGCTGCTCTCTTCGAGACTTAACTTTGGTACCTTCAATTCTGAATTAGTAGCTTAGTAGCAGAGAGTGTTTGCTTGAAGTATGTCTCGACACGTCTTTGTGTTTCTTTATGATGAACTTAACAGCTGAGTTGATGAAATATTATTTTCACAATTTGTGTGTCGCGAACGTGTCTGCCTTTACTGAAGTGGGCAAAAAGAATTCCAACTTGTTAATTTAACTGGTAGCAGCTTCTGGAAAGTTTTCATACAAAATCAACTTCAGAATGTGCCTGAATCACTCCTGTTCTTCCTCAAAAAAGAAAAGTTATGCAAATATGAAAGATTTTTTCTTTGTTTTGGTAGGGGTGATGTCTCTTTTGCTAGAGACAAAACATTTTTCGTTGGAGTTCTTGATGTCGCTTCAGCTTTTGTAAATGTGCAATGTTGTGTTGCAATGGCGAAGATAATAACCATACACCATGCACAAGGTGACACCTACAATCCCGGCCAAAATGGTTGGGACACTTCCTGAGCCTGCCACGGTCACCCACTCCCCCGCTTCCCCAGTCAATGTTGTTCTCTCCAGCTGATGGAGCACACACCGTGCAACATAGAACGGGGGCCGGGGGGTTGGGGCCCAGCCAGATTTGGCCAGGATTGTAGATTGATTGATCTGTTAGGTGAAGGCTTTCAAAATTTCAGGGTCTGGGACCTAGACTCTCTTTGAATCTTTAAAACTCCTTTGTTGCATGCCTTTTCTAAAACATTGGCTTGCATAACGGAAATAATGAATTCACTGCCATTATTCTTGGGGTGGGGGGGGGGGGGAGTTAACCCAACAGGGTGAGTCTTGGAAGATGATTCGTGTCCCCGAGAAGTGCCAGACGATGACAATAATATGATTCTTTTTTCTTGCGCGTGGTGTATGTTTCTTATCCAATTCCTGTTTAATATACAAGGCTTTAAAGTGAAGGTTTTGTCACTTGATGCAAAATTGAATTACCAAAATTTCCCTCTGTTTTAAAGGTGTACAAATTGTTTTGCTGATTTTTTTTAAATAATATTTTATTTTAAATCGCTCTACGAGAATGTTGTTCTTAAATTTTTGTGATACTTTATGTTCTGGTCTACCAAGCTATCACAGTACTAAGACTTGAAAAGTGGGCTTTTATTTGTTATTTTTGTATTTTTGTATTTTTTTTCAGGGGGGGGGGGGGATTTCTCAGAAACAAATGCCTACCAGTAATGTGTCTAATTTCAAATCGGCTCAAATAGTTTTCGGAATTAAAAACGCACATAGTCCAAGATTTTGCCTCATCGCTCGGCCAGTTCACGGCCATAATCTGCTCAAAGCTTCTTTTTTGGGGGGGACTACCTATATCATTTTTCGCATGCCCTGTTGCAGCAGCAGCGTTTACTTCAGGTTTAATGGTGTTCTCTTCAGAACTGTATTAACGTCCAGAAATCTCATGTTGTGGTGTCTTTGGAAGGCATTAAAATATTCAGAGGTAATTTTTTTATATCGTAAAAATGAGAACTTGTGTCTTGGCTTTGGGTGTACATGTACTTGGATTGTTGCGTAAAATTATCACTGCACAAATCAGCATATAAATGCTATGTTCTATTATTTTTGTGTTTTTACAAAATTCTGCGAATGCCTATCCAGTGTTTCCCTGTCCATACCACCAAAAAAAAAAAAAAAACCACCAAAAAACAAAAAAAAAAAAAAAAAAAATTAACAAAATGTTGTTAACTCATATATTCGTGATTTCCTAGCAGTTTGAACATTTTTTTTTAAAGTCCTGTTGATAAAGGCAAGCAGATTGTTTTAGAACGTCGGTGACTTGATTATTCAAATTGAGATGCAGAGTTAATCAACCAGTCAAGCTCCAAGATCAACTGCAGGAAAGTTAACGGAGCTGCAAAGATGAAAATTTTGGTAATCGTGGTTTCTGACTTTGATTTCTGATTATTTTAATCCCTTTTTCTGTTTAATTGGTGGACAAATGAGTTCAAACAACTTGATTCTTTGTCTACGTTGTATATTTCATGATTGAAACAGGTGTTCTGTGAATTGTTTTGTTTTATTAGCTAGTTGTTTTCAAAGGAGTTGATGAAAAGTATGTGCTGTAACAAATTGCGCTTGTATCAAGTTCAACAGAAATGCTAAAAACCTGTAAATACTAAAGCTGAACAATTGTAGTTTAGTGAATTGGAATCAGTTTGTTGAGCTCATTTGAAGCCGATTGTAATATTTGCATATCTAATTGTTGTGGTTAATCACTGTAGTTTAAAAAGGTAAGGTTTGTAAATATTAACTATAGTCTCAAATAGAGACTCGACGATGGACAAGTCGACCGTCTCGACGATGGACAAGTCGACCGTCGAGCCTCGCCGAACGTCAGTCAAGTTTGCATCGGAAAACGGAAGGACAATTTGTGGAGAACACTTCAAATGAAAGACCGAGACTTCAGAACATTGGAACTTTCTGCCAGCTTCGCACTAGCCTCAAATCGAGCGCCAGTGTAATTACAGGAAGTATGTTTGGTTGTGACTTGTTGAAAGTGGATGGGAATATATGCATGCTGTGTTATTGAACTGTAAATACATGTAATTATGAAGACCTGGTGTGGGAAGGGTAGCTATCCATGCGGACGCCACCAGTAGAATGACACTGGCAGGCAAAAATGAAGCTGGCAAGCAAATCTAGAAATACACCATACTTCGTGGGAAACAAAATGCCAGGTACAGTTATCTATGCGAACTTGTAAATAACGTGTTGCATGGTCTTATGTGCACTTGTGTAAAAACAAAATTGTTACGGCGAATTTCGTCCTTGCAGCATAAAAAAAAAATGGTGTTTGCTTTTACTGTTAAATATTTCAGATATAAGATATGCGTCTTTAATAAATGTATATTACGCAATTGAGGCACTGGAACCAGTTGCCATCCTGCACCAGTCTTGAAGAAAAAAAATTAACAATTTCAGAAATGCTAACAATTTGTGTTAATTTTGGTCGCAACAGTAGTCTCGATTAGCCTACAGACACTTTAACGGATTTGCCTCGTTCATTATAATTTGTAAGCTGACTCGTTTGAACCAGAAATTCCGGAAATTCTTTGGGTTTTTATTTTTTAGAGATGAAAGCTACAGTGGCGTAAATAGGTCCAATTTCAAACGAAGTTTTTGGGGAATCATTTTCTGGATTGTTTCAAACAATATAAAGGCTCCTTTCCTGTTGAAATTTTGAGCCCAACTATTGAGGAGGCACATTTTGTAAGGGGGTGACAGGGCCTCGACGGAAGGGGATGGATTCCGTTCCCCGTGCCCTGCCCCACCCTTCCCTGAATTGCGCCTCTGGAAAGCCAAGCGACCCAGAAAGGTTTGCTCTGAATATTTGTAATCCTCCCATCGACATGAATATTCACAATCATTTTCGGACAATATGAATATTCATCATTGAATTTCAAATGACGGTTTTATCTCTTGCATTTGTAGAAGGGAAAATGTCATGGGCCTTGTAGCCTATATAATGAGAAACTAAAATCATAAGGGGGGACAATAACATTGCTAAAAATGGAACAAACTTAAATCGGGGGCAAAAGTAGAAGGGTGCAAAATGGCTTGTCTTTTAATTATGCAATCTAGGTGAAAGGCCAAGTATTTACTTTTTCTCTTTACTGTTTTCTGACTTTTGATTGTATGTTGTAGCTAAATGTAAGTTTAAATATTGGCACACACAAAAAAAACACCAACAAATTTAAATTCTTGGCGGTGAGATTATTTGTTAGTTTCTGATTGTGAGTTTCTTTTATTTTTGTTTTATTTCCTTCTTGCCTTTAACTTGTGTGCAGGAATGTGGGGGGCGATAATTTGCAAAAGTGACGGTAAACTACTACGCAGAAATAATTTGATGAGGACAGGTACATTCAACATTTAGACTGCCATTATTTGGAAGATTTGTGCACAAATAATCAATATACAATTAAAATTAAACATGTTTTTCTCTGATTTTGACACAATTTCCGACGCATTGTTCCTGTCTAAGGGCAAATCTGTCCAGAAATCGAGTTGGAATGAGTTCTAGGGTCCTTAAGGCATCTTTCCTGGAGGTTTGGCGCAATTTCATTTTTTGGTCAAAAAATAAAAAAATTGCAAGGGGTAAGCCTTACATTTTTCATCAAATTTGGCCAAAAAATGACTTTTCTCCAAACGACGCAGAAATGACTTTTGATGCAAGGAGAGTAACATACAATATTCAAACTGCCATTATTTCGAAGATTTGGGCACAAATAATCGATTTCTTTGGAGAAAAATCATATTTTTCACTGATTTTGACCCAAATTTTCAACGCATTGTTCATGTCTAAGGGCACATCTGTCCACAAATCGAGTTGGAATGTATTCTAGGGTCCTTGGGGCATCTTTCCTGGAGGTTTGGCGCAATTTCATTTTTTTTGCCAAAAATGAAAAAATTACATTTTTCATCAAATTTGGCAAAAAAATGACTTTTCTCCAAACGACGCAGAAGTGACTTTTGATGCAAGGAGAGAAATATACAGTACTCAAAACTTACATTATTTCGAAGATTTGGGCACAAATAATCGATTTATTGAGAGAAAAATCATATTTTCACTGATTTTAACCCAAATTTTCGACGCACTGTTCATGTCTAAGGGCACATCAGTCCACAAATCGAGTTGCAATGTGTTCTAGGGTCCTGTAGGCTTCTTTCCTGGAGGTTTGGCGCAATTTCATTTGTTGGCCAAAAATAAAAAAATTGCAAGGGGTTTAACCCCTTGCAATTTTTTAAAATTTGGCTGAAAAATGAAATTAGGCCTTTGAAAAGGAAATATTACGTCGACAATTTGAGGTAAAATATTCAAATATATGAATTTTTACCCAATGATGTCTCAATTTTGGCCAACATTTAGCAAATTTTGCTGGTCTGAATATTAAATCATGGTCCCAGAGCATCCTTAAGCATTGCTGAGTAATTGGAGAAAATTCAATTTTTTTTGCCAAAATGGGGTCTATTAAACCCCTTACATTTTTTTTCAAATTTGGCCAAAAAATGAAATTTCTTGAAACTCTTTAGGAAGATGCCTCAGCGTCCCTAGAACACGTTTCCACTCCTACATTTGACAGATAGGCCTTTAAAAAGGAAATATTACGTCGTCAATTTGAGGTGAAATATGTCAAATATATGAATTTTTACCCAGTAATGTCACAATTTTGGCCAAAATTTAGCAAATTTTGCCGGTCTGTATATTAAATCATGCTCCCAAAGCATCTTTAAGCATTCCTGAGTATTTTGGAGAAAATTCATTATGTGGCCAAAATCGAGAAAAAAAGTAAGGCTAACCCCTTATATTTTTTTCAAATTTGGCCAAAAAATGAAATTTCTTGTAACTTGCTAGGAAGATACCTCAGGGTCCCTAGAACACGTTTCCATTCCCACATTGGACAGATAGGCCTTTAAAAAGGAAATATTACGTCCTCAATTTGAGGTGAAATAGGTCAAAAATATGAATTTTTACCCAGTAATGTCACAATTTTAGCAAAAATTTAGCAAATTTTGCCGGTCTGAATATAAATCATGGTCCCAGAGCATCCTTATGCATTGCTGAGTAATTTGGAGAAAATTCATTTTTTGGCCAAAATCGAAAAAAAAGTAAGGCGTTAGCCTTACTTTTTTTCAAATATGGCCAAAGAATGAAATTTCTTGAAACTCTTAGGAAGATGCCTCAGCGTCCCTAGAACACGTTTCCACTCCTACATTGGACAGATAGGCCTTTAAAAAGGAAATATTACGTCGTCAATTTGAGGTGAAATAGGTCAAATATATAAATTTTTACCCAATAATGTCACAATTTTGGCCAAAATTTAGCAAATTTTGCCGGTCTGAATATTAAATCATGGTCCGAGAGCATCCTTAAGAATTGCTGAGTAATTTGGAGAAAATTCTTTTTGGCCAAAATCGAGAAAAAAAAGAAGGCTAACCCCTTACATTTTTTTCAAATTTGGCCAAAAAATGAAATTTCTTGAAACTCTTAGGAAGATGCCTCAGGGTCCCTAAACACGTTTCCACTCCTACATTGGACAGATAAGGCTTTAAAAAGGAAATATTACGTCCTCAATTTGAGGTGAAATAGGTCAAATATATGAATTTTTACCCAGTAATGTCACAATTTTGGGCAAAATTTAGCAAATTTTCCCGGTCTGAATATTAAATCATGGTCCCAGAGCATCCTTAAGCATTGCTGAGTATTTTGGAGAAAATTCATTTTTTGGCCAAAATCGAAAAAAAAGTAAGGCTAACCCCTTATATTTTTTTCAAATTTGGCCAAAAAATGAAATTTCTTGAAACTCTTTAGGAAGATACCTCAGGGTCCCTAAACACGTTTCCACTCCCACATTGGACAGATAGGCCTTTAAAAAGGAAATATTACGTCCTCAATTTGAGGGGGAAATAGGTCAAAAATATTTGAATTTTACCCAGTAATGTCACAATTTTGGCCAAAATTTAGCAAATTTTGCCGGTCTGAATATTAATCATGGTCCCAGAGCATCCTTAAGCATTGCTGAGTAATTTGGAGAAAATTCATTTTTTGGCCAAAATCGAAAAAAAAGTAAGGCTAACCCCTTACATTTTTTTCAAATTGGCCAAAAAATGAAATTTCTTGAAACTTTAGGAAGATACCTCAGGGTCCCTAGAACACGTTTCCACTCCCACATTGGACAGATAGGCCCTTAAAAAGGAAATATTACGTCGTCAATTTGAGGTGAAATAGGTCAAAAATATGAATTTTACCCAGTAATGTCACAATTTTGGCCAAAATTTAGCAAATTTTGCCGGTCTGAATATTAAATCATGCTCCCAAAGCATCCTTAAGCATTGCTGAGTAATTCGGAGAAAATTCATTTTTTGGCCAAAATCGAGAAAAAAAGTAAGGCTAACCCCTTATATTTTTTTCAAATTTGGCCAAAAAATGAAATTTCTTGTAAGTTGCTAGGAAGAAACCTCAGGGTCCCTAAAACACGTTTCCACTCCCACATTGGACAGATAGGCCTTGAAAAAGGAAATATTACGTCCTCAATTTGAGGTGAAATAGGTCCAAAAAAATGAATTTTTACCAGTAATGTCACAATTTTGGCCAATATTTAGCAAATTTTCCGGTCTGAATATTAAATCATGGTCCCAGAGCATCCTTAAGCATTGCTGAGTATTTGGAAGAAAATTCATTTTTTGGCCAAAATCGAAAAAAAAGTAAGGCTAACCCCTTATATTTTTTTCAAATTTGGCCAAAAAATGAATTTTTTTGTAACTTGCTAGGAAGATACCTCAGGGTCCCTAAAACACGTTCCACTCCCACATTGACAGATAGCCCTTTAAAAAGGAAATATTACGTCCTCAATTTGACGTGAAATAGGTCAAAAATATGAATTTTACCCAGTAAAAATATGAATTTTTACCCAGTAATGTCACAATTTGGCCAAAATGTAGCAAATTTTGCCGGTCTGAATATTAAATCATGGTCCCAAAGCATCCTTAAGCATTGCTGAGTATTTGGGAGAAAATTCATTTTTTGGCCAAAATCGAAAAAAAAGTAAGGCTAACCCCTTACATTTTTTTCAAATATGGCCAAAAAATGAAATTTCTTGAAACTTTTAGGAAGAAACTCAGCGTCTGTAGAACAAGTTTCCACTCCTACATTGGACAGATAGGCCTTAAAAAGGAAATATTACGTCCTCAATTTGAGGTGAAATAGGTCAAAAAAAATGAATTTTTACCCAGTAATGTCACAATTTTGGCCAAAATGTAGCAAATTTTGCCGGTCTGAATATTAAATCATGGTCCCAGAGCATCCTTAAGCATTGTCTGAGTAATTTGGAGAAAATTCATTTTTTGGCCAAAATCGAAAAAAAAGTAAGGCTAACCCCTTACATTTTTTTCAAATACGTCCAAAAAATGAAATTTCTTGAAACTTGCTAGGAAGATGCCTCAGCGTCTGTAGAACACGTTTCCACTCCTACATTGGACAGATAGGCCCTTAAAAAGGAAATATTACGTCGTCAATTTGAGGTGAAATAGGTCCCAAAAAATTAATTTTTACCCAGTAATGTTACAATTTTGGCCAAAATTTAGCAAATTTTCCCGGTCTGAATATTAAATCATGGTCCCAGAGCATCCTTAAGCATTGCTGAGTATTGGAGAAAATTCATTTTTTGGCCAAAATCGAAAAAAAGTAAGGCTAACCCCTTATATTTTTTTCAAATTTGGCCAAAAAATGAAATTTCTTGTAAGTTGCTAGGAAGAACCTCAGGGTCCCTAAAACACGTTTCGACTCCCACATTGGACAGATAGGCCTTAAAAAGGAAATATTACGTCCTCAATTTGAGGTGAAATAGGTCAAAAATATGAATTTTTACCCAGTAATGTCACAATTTTGGCCAAAATTTAGCAAATTTTGCCGGTCTGAATATTAAATCATGCTCCCAAAGCATCCTTAAGCATTGCTGAGTAATTTGGAGAAAATTCATTTTTTGGCCAAAATCGAGAAAAAAAAGTAAGGCTAACCCCTTACATTTTTTTCAAATTTGGCCAAAAAATGAAATTTCTTGAAACTCTCTAGGAAGATGCCTCAGGGTCACTAGAACACGTTTCCACTCCTACATTGGACAGATAGGCCTTTAAAAAGGAAATATTACGTCGTCAATTTGAGGTGAAATAGGTCCAAAAAATGAATTTTTACCCAGTAATGTCACAATTTTGGCCAAAAT